TGGATGGGCGGCTGGCGAGGCGGAGATGGCGGGGGTCGGCTCCTGCTGCGGGCGTTTCGGTCCAGATCCCCTTGTCGGTCGGCTCGGGCTGCGGCAGCATGGGCCGGAGGGCGCACTGCCTTGGCGGACTGCTACTCCGGTGAGGCTGAGGAGCCGCCTGCTGTTGTTGCCTGGCGGCGGGCGGGGCTCCGGGGGCGACTCGCCTGGTGGCGGCGGTGGTACAACTCCGACCACGGGCTGCAGCGGGCGGGGCCCGGTGGACCCCTTCTCTTCGGGCCATGGCTCGACCTCCTTCTCCTCTCGGTCGGGGTCAGAGGCGGGCTGGTGCTGGTGGAGGTGGGGGCGTGCCGGCCGGATCTGATGCGAATTTTCCGGCAGGCGGAGCGGGTTGGGCAGCGGCCGGGCGTGGCCGCTGCTCCGGCCGTGGGCGGCGGCATGGGACGGTCTCGGTGATGGCCTCCCGGTGTTGGGGCGGCTCCACGGTAGCTCGACGGATCTGTTCGCGGCAGCGGCCGGCTTCTCCGGCATCGGCTCGTCTGCAGTCGGGCCGTTTCAACCTTCACCCCATCTCCTCGTCGCCTGGGCGTTTCTCCCATCAATGGGTTGGTCCTCTCCTAGCTGCGGTCTGCCGCTTGTCTCGCGCCCCGGTGCTGCATGACTGAGCTCGTCCCGCGCCCAATGCAGCAGGATCAAGCTCGTCTCGTGCACGGTGCAGCAGGACTGACCTCGTCCCCCTCTCGATGCAGCAGGACCGAGCTCGTCTCGCGCTCGGGGCTGCAGGACGGGTCGGTGGATGCCAGTTTTGGCCGACCTATTGGGTCTCGACGCTGGGGGGCGTCCAGGAGGGCGAAAGGTGGTGACCTTTCCGCTCGTATCTTTCGTTGGGGTGCGATGGGTCTCGGGTGAGGTGGTGTCGAGGTCTTGGATGCTGGGACGGCGGCCCTGGTGGTGGTAGCGCGGTGCTCGTGGGCAGAGCCCGTGCCTTGGTGCTGCCCGGTCTCCATGGTCGTGTAGGCGGCGTGGTTGCCGGGGTGTGGCGTTCGGTGGCAGTGAGTGTTGGCCGAGGTGAAAATATGTTCTATCTTCGGATGGACCGGCGGCGGTGAAGATCGTTCCCTTCTTGAAGGCGTCGTCGCGATTATCATTGCCCGTCATGTGGCTCCGGGGGAAACTCTGATCCTTGGATCGGGCGGTAGCGGCGCGCCGGTGTCGTGCCCTTCTTGAAGGCGCCGCCTTGAAGTGCATGGTTCGTCATATGTAGCTTCATCTCTGTGTGGTAGTGCTAGGGGTGGTGTTGCTGCGCTCAGCACCTTTGGATCCTGCCCTGGGTGTGTGCGTGTGTTGCGGTGGCGTGGCGTGTGTTTGTACTGGATGCTTGTTGATTAGTGCTTTATTTATAAAGCGGGGCGAAAGACTTTTTTGGTAGAAAGGTGCGTGTACCTCTTGCATTGTGGTGTTGCTAGCGTCCTGGTCATCACCTTCCAAGCGGTGGTCTTCATTTTCTGAGGAACAACCGACTTCCAGACACGGTTCCATAGTGTATGATTATCATCCGGATTAGTGCTTGAGGCACCAGCGTTGTAGGTCATATTATTATTGAAGGAAATATGCCTAGAGGCAATGATAAAGTTATTATTTATTTTCTTATTTCATGATAAATGTTTATTATTCATGCTAGAATTATATTAACCGGAAACATAATACATGTGTGAATACATAGACAAACATAATGTCACTAGTATGCCTCTACTTGACTAGCTCGTTAATCAAAGGTGGTTAAGTTTCCTAACCATAGACATGAGTTGTCATTTGATTAACGGGATCACATCATTAGGAGAATGATGTGATTGACTTGACCCATTCTGTTAGCTTAGCACTTGATCGTTTAGTATGTTGTTATTGCTTTCTTCATGACTTATACATGTTCCTATGACTATGAGATTATGCAACTCCCGTTTACCGGAGGAACACTTTTTGTGCTACCAAACGTCACAACGTAACTGGGTGATTATAAAGGTGCTCTACAGGTGTCTCCGAAGGTACTTGTTGAGTTGGCGTATTTCCAGATTAGGATTTGTCACTCCGATTGTCGGAGAGGTATCTCTGGGCCCTCTCGGTAATGCACATCACTATAAGCCTTGCAAGCAATGTAACTAATGAGTTAGTTGCGGGATGATGCATTACATAATGAGTAAAGAGACTTGTCGCTAACGGATTGATCTAGGTATTGAGATACCGACGATCGAATCTCGGGCAAGTAACATACCGATGACAAAGGGAACAATGTATGTTGTTATGCGGTTTGACCGATAAATATCTTCGTAGAGTATGTGGGAGCCAATGTGAGCATCTAGGTTCCGCTATTGGTTATTGACCGGAGATGTGTCTCGGTCATGTCTACATAGTTCTCGAACTCGTAGGGTCCGCACGCTTAACGTTCAGTGAGGATTTATATTATGAGTTATGTGTTTTTGATGTACCGAAGGTAGTTCGGAGTCCCGGATGAGATTGGGGACATGAAGAGGAGTCTCGAAATGGTCGAGACGTAAAGATCGATATATTGGACGACTATATTCGGACATCGGAAAGGTTCCGAGTGATTCAGGTATTTATCGGAGTACCGGAGAGTTACGGTAATTCGCCGGGGAGTATATGGGCCTTATTGGGCTTTAGGGGAAAGAGAGAGGGGAGGCCGCGCGCCCCCCCAAGGCCTAGTCCGAATTGGACTAGGGGAGGGGCGGCGCCCCCTCCTTCCTTCTCTTCTCTCTTCCCTTTCCTTGACTCCTACTCCTAGTACATGGAAGGGGGGAATCCTACTCCCGGTGGGAGTAGGACTCCCAGGGCGCACCATAGTTGAGGGCCAGCCCTCCCCCTCCTCTACTCCTTTATATACGGGGGAGGGGGACACCCCATGGACACACAAGTTGATCTATTGTTCTCTCCCAGCAGTGTGCGATGCCCCCTCCACCATATTCCACCTTGTTCATATCGTAGCGGTGCTTAGGCGAAGCCCTGCGACGGTAGCAACATCATCACCGTCATCACGCCGTCGTGCTGACGGAACTTTCTCGTGAAGCTCTGCTGGATCGGAGTTCGTGGGACGTCATCGAGCTGAACGTGCGCTGAACTTGGAGGTGCCGTACGTTCGGTACTTGGATCGGTCGGATTGTGAAGACGTACGACTACATCAACCGCATTGTGCTAACGCTTCCGCTTTCGATCTATGAGGGTACGTGGATGACACTCTCCTCTCTCATTGCTATGCATCACCATGATCTTGCGTGTGTGTAGGATTTTTTTAAAAAAATTACTACGTTCCCCAACAGTGGCATCCGAGCCAGGTTTATGCGTAGATGTTATATGCATGAGTAGAACACAAGTGAGTTGTGGGTGATACAAGTCATACTGCTTACCAACATGTCATACTTTGGTTCAGCGGTATTGTTGGATGAAGTGGCCTGGACCGAAATTATGTGTACGCTTACGCAAGACTAGTTCTACCGACGTGCTTTGCACACAGGTGGCTGGCGGGTGTCAGTTTCTCCAACTTTAGTTGAACCGAGTGTGGCTACGCCCGGTCCTTGCGAAGGTTAAAACAACACTAACTTGACGAAATATCGTTCTGGTTTTGATGCGTAGGTAAGAATGGTTCTTGCTCAGCCCGTAGCAGCCACGTAAAACTTGCAACAACAAAG